TCAATGTAAGTTTTGACTGTTACTATGCCTAATAGACCGTCTTCCTTTTTTCGATTGCCACAGTCTGTCGAGGCAGAGGAACGCCAGGTCAGACTGCGACTTCTGCGGTGGCGAGCCGATCTCGTGACCTGGCCGAGGTCAGCCCTGGAGCATTTAGCCGAGACATTGGTCTACAAGGAGTTCCAGGCATGCACAGGTGGGAGGTGGGCAGATACTTTCAAAATACATATCAAGGCCCCTCGTGGAACTGCCAGCCTACCAGACGAGGACACATCATCTCAGCAATGAGACTGGGAACTATAAGCACTTATTAGTAGTGGATGCAATAAACTGATCACGAAAGTTCTAAGGGCATAAATATTACTTTATTTAGGGGCTTTGATAACATCTCACCAACGTGACCAGTTAGAAGTAAACATCGTGAGATTGTGGCACTTTCGTCTCATTTCAATGTATTCGATGTGAGTAGATTTGAAAACAAGCAGAAATTGTTAATTAAGAGCTTAATCAACTTATACCGTGGATTGAGAAAAAAGAAAGGATCTTTGATATAGATAAATGGGTTTCGGTGAATTCTTTATTGATGTATTGGGAAGTTACTTTTCATTTCGAAAGGAAAGTTGGTTGGAAAGAGAGGAATTCCAGAATTAGTCTCACCGGTAACCGAAGGAGGATTGTCTTGGAATGGAGTGTAGGCACTAGGAATGTGTGAATAAATCATTTGTTTACTGTCTTGTGGCCCCAATGAAACCGTGCTAGGCTATGTCCTTCATGTGACCTAAATTGTCACTCTTGCAACCATATTCAGGCCGACGAGGGAAGAAAACTTACTTGCTTATACCTGCCTGCTACATATATACCCTAAATCTATGCTATTCGATTAGGTACAAAGTATTTTGGTTAGTTCAAGAGGTATGTCTGTGTCTGTTTTTGAATGCCTAGGAATGTAGGTATGTTTACGGAATCAGCAATGCTAGATCAAAAACATTCGCTTAAATAGGATTGTAAAAATGATAGCCCACTCTGAGGATGTCATTCGTATGAAAGAGGAGATTCTAGTTTGCGTTTATAAATATAGTTTCGATGCTACCAGTAAATCATATATATGTGCTATGTAAACCCTATTTCGAAGCTACGAAGAAAAACTGGAGTTCGAAGTGGTCCTGTGTGATGTATTGTGACATCAATTTCCATTAAGAATTAAAAGTTGGTTGTAAGGAATTCGTAAAATGATCTCACCAGAAACTAAAGGAGGATTGCCGCGCATTTAAGATTGTTGAATTATGCGAATTAGTCCAAGAGGAAAGGTTTAGTATATTTTAGCTCTGTCTCGTAAAGTTAGGATTTTTGCAATAATGATGTCTGTCACGTAGGTACAAAATAAAATTTAGCACGGGTTCATCAGGGTCGCAAGACGGTGAGCTGATGACTTTTTAGTACAATCCAACAATCTTCACCCCGCTGCAATCCTCCTTCGGTTTCCGGTGAGATCATTTCCCGAATTCCTGCCGACTAATTTTCCCTTAGAAATGAAAAGTCATGTCACAAGTATAACCCTCTTTCATTTAAGACGATTAAGGACTGATAGTTTGATTTTCCCACAATGAGGTGAGTAGACCTTAATTTCCCATTGAATTATACCTAGCCCTCCTTTCTCAGAAGACATTCTTATCCAGACTGTAGTGGACTGCAATTTTAATCTCGCTTAAAATGGTCTTATCAGCATCTCAGTGAACAACGCAACCTAGTGCTTGAAATGTCTAGATCATACGCTGCATTGACACAACTCTGGTCCGAGTCCCGTTGGGGGTACTGATGAGACCAGTTCAGGCAAAGTCGAAACTATCGTCCACTCTAGTCCGGATAAAAATAACTTCTGGAATAGTAAGGCTATATACAATTCATTGAAAACATAAGGTCTACGCATATAATTGTGAGCTAAAATTCAACTACCATTTATTCGTCATTTGAAACAAAATAGAGTGAGCATATCTCATAGAGACGAGATCTTAGCATGCCTTTGCCAAAATCGAGGTCAATTGCCTCGGGGACAGCGTCAACCAGAATAGTCAAGTAAAGCCAACTGACAGCTGATCATGAGGATGGGATCCACCTTCCAATCTCTTCATCACACATGATTTCACTCTTCTTCATGTATTAACTTCAATCATCTACCTGCCTGTAAATCAAGCATTAAGTAGCCAATTAACTGATGGGATGATTAATTAAGATCGTATTTCGATGTAAAGAGTAAGTAGGATTTCAACGGTCCATCTTTCAGGGTTTAGTGTTTGGGTATATATTTTTAGTAAATGATGATTTCTGACTGATGATGACTATCAGTTAGCCCCACTTCAGATGGTCTTCTTCGCAAATTCCTGCAACAAGGACTTCGATCTTCTGTGCGACCAATTAACGAAATCTTTTCATCCGCTTTTCAGACTAGACAATAGTTACATAAAAAGCGACTAGATTTATTATTTGAAAATGCGCTCAATTTCAATATCAAATTAACCTAGAAAAACTAAGTTAATGCTAGTATGATTAGACCAAGAGATTGACCTTTAAAGATAATAAGTATAGAGATTGAGTAGTTTCCGAAACTACCAGTAGATCTTGAATAAGAACTCTATTTATTCTAGAAGTCGTTCGACCTTGGTTTCGCAACTTGGTCACATTTGCAGAAGGACGTAGAAGAATGCACCTTGTGCTGAGTCCATAGTATGCATGATCATTTCCAGAGTCGAACCGTTGACTTGGTACATTCTCAGACGTCTCGCCAGCACCGTAGTCGGCAACATCCGTGAGCCTTTTCATTCTCAGCAAACCAAGCTACAACTCGTCAAAGAGACAACTTTATGTCGAAACGGTTGTGCCATTACTCCTTGTTCTGTTCTGGTCCCTCCCTCCATTTCCTACCCTCTAGTCTCGCCCTCGACCTATCACAACTTCTGACATGTTTACATTCCGCAAAAGATGTGCCCTTCTGGCGACTTTTCCGTGGTCTCATCAGACCTGCTGTTTGCCTTGTTCCCCTCCCTTTAGAGTGGCTGATCCTGCTCTGTTCTCCTTTCCGGATCTGCCTCAGGAGGCCTTATTACCGTTTCTTCTTTTTCTAGTTGACTGATTTCACTCGGTTCCAGCTCCAGCGTACTTTACTCCAAGAGCTGTTTCTCAAGCCTTCAATAGCATGTACAAAGTCGCCCTATCTTCAGAGCGCCTAAGCTATGATTCCCATGCCTGCGGATATTTGACACTACCTCCACGCATCATCTCCTCGATTGAATCCAGGTACCCTGAGCAAACTGTGGACGTCTGTTTCTGGTTGTCTGCTGCATTTCATGTGGATTATTAACCCATTCGGTCACAATGCTCGATTTATGTAATCCAATTCTTCTCCCTAGTCACGTGAAATGTAGGGCCCCCAAATTGTATTTGTCTCTCCGAGCTGACTACTCTCAATGAAAACGTCTTCGCTTCATTTTCGAAACCTCCTCACCAACTTTTCCCTTGCGATCACTTTTCCTCTGGTTTACGATAGATCCTTGCTCCAGGCGTCTCCTCCTTGAATCCATGTTTTCGCCAAGTTCCATTAAGCAATAGACAAAGTAATCACCAACTCTGCCTTAC